TCAGCAGGTCTGGCAGCATCTGTGGGAGAAAGCAGAGTTAACGTTTCGGGTCTGGAAGCGTCACCAGACTTGAAACATTAACTCTGCTTTCTCACCACAGATGCTGCCAGACCTGCTGAGCTTAGCCAATAATTTCTGTTTCTGTTCCAGATCTCCAACATCCACAGTTCTTTGTTTTATTAAATCCATGCACTTATCTCCTTGTGAAGAGTGAGAGAAGGTAAAACAATGCTACAGACATAATCCAATATAGTTGTTTTATCAAACCTGCAGCAATTCTCATCTTGACAGAGAGTTTTCATTATCACTATCTTGGAGGACGTGTCAGGGTTCTGAGTTGATTAATTAATTGCCCTGCTGCAATGCACTATGCAAAGGTGTACGCCTATATTGCAACATGTTTTAGCTTGGATACTAATGTTATACAAAAGTATTCAACTCTGAATGTATAACACAATCTCTATTTAGCTGAATTCCCAATAAAGTGAAGAAGTGAGTACAAATGGGATTCCCTTTTATATATTCACATTGACTTTTTATGAAGCAAGTGGAATATCATGTCTTCTAAAGGAAATTCTCCTTCAGTCTTCGGCACAGACCACAGTACCAGGAATATTTTAAGGCTGTCTGTTGATTGAGCAATCACTTAGGATATGCATTTTTTTTGTGTGTGATGAAGCTTGACAAATCATGTGACAAGTTTGAAGTGATTGTTTTGGTGGATCTTGGTTTCTGAATTCTACCTTATGGTTATGTGCAGCTCCACCAATCAAATCAGTCATTTAATTACATTTGTAAGAACCAGAATACCTCCAACTATTGTACAACATTAAATTTGATTGTTAGGTAGAGAAGGTTCATTTGTCAGCAATCCCTTGAGGTAATATTCATTGTGAAGTGCTGGCACCAGCCCCACAGTTCTTGGGAAATGATTTCATTATCTTGAGGATTGATTATCAGGTGCTCTGCTCTCTGCATCTCCACCTACAAACTCCAGCCAGTTTGGAACACTGCACTTTAAATCTTCCATACAAAGTCTCACACACCCCTCACTTTATCAACATCAAATGCCTGTGTGTTTCTGTGTCTTAGATAATTTCAAGATCCTTATCTTCATATTCAAATTGTTTACTGTTCTCACTTCAACCAATCTGCACAACCTTCTCCGTTCGACAATTGTGAGGGGTGGAGATGGGAAGTCCAGCGGGAAATGTTTAGAGAATGAATACTTAACCCTCTTTTTGTCAGATCTGACTATTGCTCACTGCCTACTCTTCCTGGTACACCATTATAGAGTAATCAAACAGTACTGAAAACTTGTGCTCTAGAACATTCTTCCAGGACTTATTTTCCTGTTTTAAAAGTCTACCTCTTCGGTCCTAGCTTCCTTTACATTTTATTTGGTGCTGGCTTGAATCCCCTTGAGAAGTGAGACTTAGTTTTACAACAACTAAATAAATGAGTAGAACACTATTTTATAACCCGACTGGCACAATCCATCTATTTCTGTTTGATTTTGTCATGATCATTCCTTTATATTTTTGTGAAATTTGTTTTTTTATTAACATTTGTACATGAAGTTTTAGAAAAAAATGGATTAAGTAGATGAGAAATGGAAAAATGAATGGAAATCTATTTGTGATCTTGTACTGTCAGTAATGTTAAGGTATTATCACATCCGGTGATGTGAAATCGATAGTTTCAGAAAATCACAGGGCTGCTCTCTCATGAGAAGGAGATGACTGGTAGTAAGTTTAAATTGGAGGATCAGTACACCTCCAGGGAGAGGTGACGTTGAGAAAGCAGGACCTGCATGGTGTGCAAGAATTCAACTCACATTGTTGGCATCACAAATCAGCCTTCCATCCAACCAAATAAGCTAACCAATAATATCATAGATGGCATCATGGTGGTGATGGCAGTTCACTGAAGAAAGCTAAGCTGATGTAGCAAAACACACTTTTACGTATACGTTATTGTCTGGAGCTATGGATAATTATGCCAGAGGGTCCAATGTTCTTTCTGTTATATGGCTGACCAGAATCTCCCCATACTCTTATCGCCTGCCTTTAGCATGTGTTGGAACAATTTGCAGATTGATACGCAACCTGTTAGGCTGTGTTATGAATGTACCTTCCTTCGCCATTAAGTTCTGAAGTGGGACTCAAACACAGAGCTTCTGGCTGAGATGCAGGGATACCATCCAATGTGCTATTAGACTTCCCATGTGGATATTAGAAATAACACATTGGGAATAAACTACAATGTTTAGAATAGGAAAGGTTTATAGGCATACGGGCCAAATGCTGGCAAATAGGATTAGATTAATTTAGGATATCTAGTCAACATGGATGAGTTGGACCAAAGGGTCTGTTTCTGTGCTGAACAGCTCTATGAATCTATAACACAGGGAGGAAGACACATATTAATTTATAAGGTAATTGAGAAATCAGGAGAATGACTAAGAACTCTCATCCAAGACACTACCAATGATTATAAGAAAAGGTAACATAATCAAAAGGTATTGCCTAGTCAGAGATTTAAATTTTAAAGTAGAAAGTAGCTTATGAGAAAGGAAATTTGGGTGTTCTTCAATTTTTTGATTTATTGACTTTTTTAAAAACACAATTAGATATTTTTACTTTTCTTAAAAATACTAAATAAGCAATTTGTTATGCTCTTTGGAAGTCAGGGTATTAAAGAGTTAGTAACATGAGGAACACACTATTTGAATTGGCTTACCCTAAAAAAAATGAACACTTAAAAATTTGGAAAGAAAAGTAACTACATTTATGAAAGGAAACAGCTTATGACAAATTGAGATTTGTCCTGAGAATTTTCAGCATGTGTTTCATTCAATGGGTTAACAGAACCATGAAGCATTAAGTGTACACAAGGCTTACGAATAGAAAATAAACTTATAACTAAAATTATGAATATTACATACCGGAATTTTCTGTTGCTATGTGATGAATCCATTTGTACCTAGACCTCTGAAGCCGCTTGTTTGTAGGTTCCGTGGTTTGAATAAAATCTACCATATTGCAACTGAGGCTAGTGACAGTTCTCCAATCTCAAATTGCGCTAATCTAATGAGACATAAGCAATAACAGAGAAATTACTTAATCTATTACATCAGTTAAAAATACGGTGTATTATTATTTCTCAGCACAAATATTCTTCTAATGCCTTCCCAATTTCAGCTCACCAGCAGGGCAAACATGCCTGCCCAAAAGCAGACAGTGAAACTGAAGGAAAAGTGACCTAACAGATTCCTTGTGTTCAGACAAGTTCCGGTAGAACAGCATTAGCAGTGGCTTAGGAGTCAGGGTCCAAGTGGAGGAGAGCTGTTCTGAGGATGAGTCAAACTGGACTCAAAACATTAATTCTGTTTCTCTCTCCACAGATCTGTTGAGTTTCTTCAGTATTTTCTCTTTTATTTCTGAGCTGTGAAGGGTCACTGGTACAAGAAGGGGAAAAGAAAATAAATTTGTAGAACTTTTCCTCAAAAATTGCCTGTCCAGAGGAGCAGATGGCTCTCCAGTGCGCACAAGTGGCCTCATCAGGTCCAGGGTATAGAAGACATGGATTTACTTCCAATCAACTAGGTCCAATAGACTTGGGCACGAGAGAAAATGAAAACTTGAAGGCAATTTTCTTCAGCAATTCATGGGCATCCTCTGTTGAACAGTTACAGAATTGTGACAGGAACTTAGCGAGTAAGCTAAAACAGCTTAAAATATTAATTACCAGCAACGCCACAGTTCTAGGAAGCATACATTCAAAAACTGGAAAATTACAAGTGCCTATCCGATTTTCCACATCGCCCCTCAGCTCAACTTACATGATGTGCTCCTTTCAAGTGTCTGGCCTGAAAGCAGTCGAGTCTGGCAATGTCTCCAAGCTCAGTTTCTTCATGAATGCTCTGTTTATCATCTGGGAATAATTCCTTCCTTCAAATCAAGGGTGCGCAGGTTGGAAATTTGCCAATGTTGCAAGTCATTGCTTACATTGGGTGAAATTGAGGCCCATAGGTTCCTGACAACAACAGCCAATGGACATCCAAGCATTTCAAATGGAGTCCTGATGGACCCTGCCTTCATTTAGCTGGTTTGTGAGGAATATGCTGGTCATGTTTGCAGTCCCTCCCATTCGATGCTGGGGGACCTCACAACCTCTGTAGCCCAGTTTAAGTGGGTGGGCTTTAGGGAAACATATGCCAAGGAGAATCTCATGGAAATGATATGGAATTCTAAACCATCAATCTGGGGTTGTAACCATCCCAGCTGGAAAGTTTAATCTCCTGGAAACTGCTGTGAGGAACCCAGGAGAAACGTTATGGGGGCAGTGAAAAAAAAAAAAAAAAATGGACTTTTTCCAGTTTCTTTGAGCATTTTCAAGACAGAAGCCTTACTTGGTTTTGGATGTTTTACTCATTTCAAAAAGGAGCATTTAAATCATTCAGCAAACTGCTGTTAGGGTAAATCATCCAGACAGATTCAAGGTAGTTCTGGAATTAGTATGAAGCATGCTGATGTATATTGACTATTACATTTATTATTGTAAATACTTTCCAAATCATTTTCAATTTCAAAGCCAAGGTAAATACTGAATGAAGACATCACCCATGTATGGAGAGTACAAGGAAAACTCAAAAGCTAATTCAGTTCTGACCTCTCACATATATAATATATTTTTTTATTTATTAACCAGTGCTCATCCTTAATTAATTCTGCACATTCACAATCCACTTTGTGATGTAGACATGACAGAAGTGGTAGAACACTGATTCCAGTCTCTGTTACTTTATTTAGGCACCGATTGAATGTCTATGATTGCAGCCAACACACACAGAGTGGAGAAGTTGTTTTACACAACTTCAATGAGTTTCCCTCCGTTGTAAAGACAGAAGTGTGGAATTCCATTGATGATTTCTCAATGTTCAGAACCATTCATGACTCTTTAGATAGTGAAGCCATCTGTGTCTATATGCAGCAAGACCTGGGCGGCTTCCAGGCTTAGACTAATAAATGGCAAGTAACAGACACACAAGTGCCAGGCAATGGCTACTCCAGCAAGAGAGAACCTAACCATAACCCTTGACAGTCATTGGCATTGCTATCACCGAATCCCCCAATATCAGTACTGTAGCATCTTCCATGGACCAGAAACCGATTGGATCAGCATGTAAATACTGTGGCTAAAGCAGCAGGTCAGGGATGGAGAATTCTTCACCAACTAATTCAACTTGAGTCCCAGAGCCTGTCCACCATCTACATAGCACAAGTCAGCAGCATGTCAGAAGGATGTCCTTTCTACTCGTTTGGATGAGTGCAGTTCCAACAACACTCAAGGAGTTTGACACCATCTAGGACAAAGCAGCTTACTTGACTAGTACCACATCCACAAACATTCACTCCCATCACATTCACAGTAGCAGCAGCAGTGTACCATCTGCAGAATGCACTCACTATGGTTCGTTTGACAGCACCTTCCAAAGCTGCAAACTCTACCACCTAGAAGGACTAGGGCAGCAGATGCTTGAAAACATCACCACTTACAGGTTCTCCTTCAAGCCATTCATCATCCTGACAGGACAATATCACCATTTCTTTACTGGTGTTGTGTCAAAAGCTTGGAACTCCTTGCTTAGCAGCACTATTGGGAGCACCAATCCCATATAGGTTGCAGTAGCTCAAGGAGGCAGCTCACCACCATCTTCTCAAGGACAGTTAGGGAAGTGCAATAAATGCTGGCCTTGCCAATGTCACCCACACCCATGAATGAATAAAACAAAATAGCACAATTGAATATTCTGGGCTTCAGACTGTTTCATTTCTAATATCTGCAAGATTTTTTTTAAACAAGTACTTAAAGTTATAGGGTCATAAAATCACAGAACTGTACAGCATGGAAACAGACCCTTCGGTCCAACTTGTCCATGCCGACCAGGTATCACATATAAATCTAGTCCTATTTGCCAGCATTTGTCCCATACCCCTCTAAATCCTTCCCATTCATATACCTATCCAGATGCCTTTTAAATATTGTAATTGTACCAGCCTCTACCACTTCCTCTGGCAGCTCATTCCTTACACACACCACCCTCTGCATGAAAAAGCTGACCTTTAGGTTCCTTTTAAATCTTTCCCCTCTCACCTTAAACCTATGCCCTCAAGTTTTGGACTCCCCCACCCTGGGAAAAAGACCTTCTCTATTTACTCCATCCATGCCTCTCATGATTTTATAAACTTCTATAAGGTCACCCCTCAGCCTCCGATGCTTCAGGGAATATAGCCTATTTAGCCTCGCCCTGTAGCTCAAATTCTCCAATCCTGGCAACATCCTTGTAAATCTTTTCTGAACCCTTTCAAATTTCACAACATCCTTTCTACAGCAGGGAGACCAGAACTGCATGCAGTACTCCAATGGTGGCCTAACCAATGTGCTGGACAGCCATAACTTGACCTCCAAACTCCTATACTCAACGCACTGACCAATGAAGGCAAGCATACCAAATAAATGCCTTCCTCACTGTCCTCGACCTGTGACTCCACTTTCAAGGCACTATGAACCTGCACTCCAAGGTCTCTTTGTTCAACAACCCTCCCCAGGACCTTACCATTAAGTGTATAAATCCTGTCCTGATTTGCCTTTCCAAAACGAAGCACCTCACATTTATCTAAATTATACTTCATCTGCCACTCCTCTGTTTATTGGCCCATTTGATCAAGCTCCTGTTGTACTCTGAGGTAACTTTCTTCACTGTCGACTACACCTCCGGTTTTGTCGTCATCTGCAAACTTCCTGAGTATACCTCCTATATTTACATCCAAATCATTTATATAAATGAAGAAAAGCAGTGAACCCAGCACCAATCCTTGTGGAACACCGCTGGTGACAGGCCTCCAGTCCAAAAAGCAAATCCCCACCACCATCTTCTGTCTTCTACCTTTGAACCACTTCTGTATCCAAATAACTAGTTCTCCCTCTATTCTGTGTAATCTAACATTGCTAACTAGTCTACCATGAGGAACCTTGTCAAATGCGTTTCTGAAGTCCATATAGATCACGTCCACTGCTCTGCCCTCATCGATCCTCTTTGTAACTTCTTCATGTCACTTTCTAACCAGGTCTCATCCAATAGTTAAAGTGACAAATCAGGAATATAGCTCAATCATTTCTTGCATAAGCTGGTAAGTCATATCGAAGATGAGTGGTACATCATAGATTTTTAAAAATTGTTGGTAAGAAATAATTATGTAAATTTCTTAATCAGACACATAATTGTCATTAGCTCAATTATAAAATACCCATTACAAAAACACTTATTAAGATGGTGCACTAACTGCAACAGAATAAAGATACAAAATGCACAAATTGCATATGGGCCATACAACCTTACACACATTGTAAACCATAAATGAAAATCGTTTGGAACATTTTTATTTAGACTAAGAGGAGCTGCAAATCTTTTATACTGAGAGTAGTTCGCAAATGGAATGAAGTTCCTAAGGAAGTGGTGGATGCAGGTACAGTTACAAATTTAAAAGACACCTAGATAAGTATATGCATAGGAAAGGTTTGGAGGGGTATGGGCCGGGGCAGACAGGTGGAACTCGTTTAGTTTGGGATTACGTTCGGTTGGACTTAAGGGTCTGTTTCCCTGCTGTACGCCTCTATGACTCTATCACGATTGAACAGATTGATTTTATATTTAGGCACAAACTTCTTCAGCTACAACCGTACTCCTACAATTATAACATTTTGAAATAAATGGAATTACATTGTCAAGTAATTGACAATTTCTTCAGACACCTGGAATGTAATAACTTACATATGAATCAATCTGTTTTGCCAACAATTGGCATTAAAAAAAACTGCTATTGCGTGAAATTCCAAATTGTTACATTTTGTTTCGTAAAAATCTTGCCACACTATGTGTGCAGTTAATTTGATTACTTCTTGTCCGTAGCTATTGGCATTTGATCTAACACAAGAGGGCGGCAGATACCCAAATCTGAACTGCACAGCAATGTCAGATTCATTGATTGCAAATGGAAGACCTGCTAAGATTTTCCAACAGCAG